CAGAGTGCAGGCTAAGGGCAGGGAAGACACAGATGGCAAGTTGCAAAGCTTCTGCATTGCTGTTCATCAGGACCCAAGTGAGTACTGCTGGGGTAACAGTGAGGGGAGGGGAAATACCTGCTCCATGAGGAGGACAAGATGGGCAATCCTGTCAGAATGCCTCCTGGGGGCCTCGGCTTTCAGAAGCCGAGCCACCCCCTTTCCCGTGCTCTTCCAGCTAGCAGCCGTGAACTTGATCTCAGAGCCAAGCTCTGTCCTGGTGCCCACCCAACCTCTGCGCCTTAGGGTCTGCTCTGCCCTGTGTGTGTTCTGCTTTTTTTTTTCTGTGTCCCAGTGAGCTCCTCTGTCATCCTGAAGACTAAGTTCAAAAGGCCAGGTCTTTCTCTAAGTGGCTTTCCTGATCCAGATGGGCCCAGGCAACTGGTTATGCCCACCAGTGTCTCCTCTCCTGCCACCGTCTCTTAGCCCCTCAGCCATTATCTATCCAGTCACCTGCCAATCTATGCAGCCACCTATACATGTATCTACATACCTGTCTGTCCATCCATCCATCCATGCACTTACTCATTTCCCTGTCTACCCATCCATCCATCCACCCATCCGTCATCTGTCTCTATCATCTATCCACACACCAATCTATCCATCCGTCCACCTGATTATCCATCAGTCCACTTACCATTTCCTCATCTGTCCACTCATCTCCTCACTCACCCACACACCCATCTCAACCATCCATCCCCCATCCATGTATCCACCCAACCACCTAGCCATCACATTTCCTGACTACCTTCAGTATTTATTTCACTGAAACTCTGGACAAATCAGGCTTTCCCTAAATCAGCAGTTCCTAACTTCTTAGGAGTTGAAACAAAAAGCAAAATGCCCCAAACCAACAATAACAACGACAAAGCCACACACATGTGCACATCCTTGACATATTTGTAGATCTGCAGATGGAGCTTGGTCCTGGAGCTTGGCTGTGGTCCCAAGGACAGGGACACCATGACACACTGGGGGACTGTCTTGAAGAAAATTGCCTACCGGAAGTCATGCCTCATTCCAGGGGCAGGCCCACCACCAGGTATCCCTTAGGGCAATGCTGATGGGCCCTCAGCTCCAGAAGGGCCTTGAGGCTTCACTGTCAGGTTGCTAAGTCCCACCCTTTTCTCTCTCCCCAGGGCCACAATGGGCTTCTCAGAGGGACTATTGGGTTCCTTGAGGGCAGGGCGGGGGTTTAAAGGTCTCCACAGGTTTTTAAAGAATTCTACAGTCTCCACAGCTCACACAAGCGCCTGCAGATGCTCCGGAAGCATTCCTGCATGTATTCTGATGGATTTCCTTGTCCCCAACAGGAAGGTTCTTCTCAGACATTAAGAGAAAGGGATGGCCCTGCCACCAGATGCCAGGGCCTGGGGGTTGCTGGCCTGCTTCAGGGAAATGTACTAGGTTGCCAACGAAACTGTAAATAACCATGGGAACAGCAGTCAAGCTCATTGGTTGTTCTGAAGCTGGGGGGAAGGGGCCTGGCTGATGTCAGGGCTGTGTGGCTAGGGGGCAGGCAGAGGCTGGACTGGCACTCACTGCTGGTGGTGGGGGATGGGAACCTGCCCACCTCGCTGGGCAAATCATTTCAAATTTATAAATAGCACCACCCCTTCACACTTTATTTATTTATTTATTTATTTATTTATTTTTGGTTTTTCGAGACAGGGTTTCTCTGTAGCTTTGGAGCCTATCCTGGCACTCGCTCTGGAGCACACTTTATTTTTAAAATCATTTTTCTAACATTTAGGGAAGAGCACATGTGAGTGACACAAGGCACTTGTGGTGGTCAGAGCACAATTTGTGGAAGCTGCTTGTCTCCTTTCACTGTGTGCGGCTCAGGGGTCAAGCTCAAGTTTAGGGACTGGTAGTGATAAGCACTTTCTTTTTTCTTCACAGAGCCATCTCCACTACTGGAAATTCCTCCATGAAACAAACACCAATAAAGAGGCTCCTGTATGCAACCCCTAAATGTTGGGGCTCCGATGCTGGTTGCTCCTCTCCCTTGTCACTTGGATAGGTTGTGACATCCACAATCTGGATACAGAGAGCTAATAGCTGTGTGCCCAACACAGCCATCGGATTACCATACATCCCTTTTCTTCACGGTGGCTCAGGAGATAGAATTATTCCATTTATGGGCAAAGACACAGGCTCAGAGGGAATCAGCAACATGGCCAAGGTCACGCAGTCCACAGGGCAAAGGACAGAGGCCTTATAGATCCAAGGCTTTGGTGAGGTCAGTTTCCACAGCCAAGATGAAATGGGCCCACAATTCTAGCTGTACTGGGCCACTTGGGATTAAATAATCCACATGAAGGGCCAGGAAGGGGCCTTTCTGTCCTGTCCTCCCTACCCCTGCTCTTTCCCTAGGCTGAAAGGACAATGACTCTGCTTTCATGTCCAGCAGTCTGCCATGTGGCCAACAGTCCCTGGGTGGCTCACCCTGAAAGGATGACCTAGGAGTCCCTACCCTCAGGTCTTTGGACTAGGCCAATTCACAACGATACCTAAAATGCTGGCAGGTACCACGGGACGAATTCTCCTGGTGTTAGGCAACTTCTCTTAGGCCACTGGGTTTAAAGCACAAGTGGAAACAGATGGGCATGATCCCCTGAGCCCCTAAGGTAGAGGGTACCAGAATGAAGATGTGGCTATACCAGGCTCTCAGCACACCTCTGGCTTACTCTTGTCCACACACCAACCACAATCGTCCTGGTATATTGGTGTCATTAACCTTCCTCCCACTGTGGGCTCCGGGGAGAGGTGGTGGGCATGTAAGCACTCAAAACTCAGCCCTGGAGCTGGGGACAAACAGTACAGCCTCAGAGACCAGTCACATCCTCAGCTTCCCTCAACCTGGGCAAATGCTGAGTTACCATGGTGATGCTGCAGCCCCCAAGATGCAGTGGTTGCAGACAGCATGGGTGGTTGGAGGGCTCAGGGCTGAGGGTGGACAGTCTTGACCAGAAGGCCAGGCAACTGGGTGGGCTGGGTGGGGGAGGAGGGAAGGGAGGCCTCCTCTAGGCCTGGCTGGTAATTGCTGCTAAGTAAGGGGCTGTCATTGAACCCAACATGTGAGCCGTGAGGGCCCACTCCACACCCTGTAATTACCGCACCAGACAGCAATGCCAGCTTGTGTCCTGGAGAGGGGGGCGGTGCACAGTAGACAGGAAGCTCTCATCCACCTGAGCCAGTGGGCTGCCCAGCCCTCTCCCTTGCAGGCAGCCACCCCATCAATCCCCCCCCCCCAACAACGCCTGGTTCTTACATCATTGACCTGGAACAAAAGCATCCTGATCTTGACCTCCGAGCTTGCAGAACCTAAGGCAGGCAGGAGCCAGATAAGGTATTGCTCTGGAGGGCTGAGGGCGGCTGGAACTCAAAGCTGATCACAGTTCCAGCAACTTTAAGGGCCTCAGGCAGTCATGGCTGCTCCTGGGCCTCAGCTTCCCTGCCAGACTCTCAATTCATAGGGATCCTCTCTACAGCAGGGGGTGGGCAAGAACTCACTTTTGGAAACCAGATTTTACTAGGACATAGCCACACCCCTTTGTGTCTGTGCCATGTGAGGCTTCTTTCCTGCTTCAAGTTGCAACAGACACCATATGGTCCTCAAAGGAAATATTTACTATCCATCCCTTCCAGAAGTCTGTGGTCCATGCATTCTGGGCATAACCAAAGGAGCTCTACTCGCTCAGCTCTACACAGAGCCCCTTCTGGGTCTTTGCCCAAAGATACACAGATGCCACTGCTGCCAGGCACCCTCTGCTGCCAGGGTTTGGGCAGGGGTGGCAGCAGGAGGGGCTGGAACTATAGTGTGGGCCAATGGCGCCACCTGCTGTGAGTGTCTACAGGACTGCCTCCTGGGCCAGTGGCTCCCCAGCCACAGCAGAGGGGATCAGCTCTGGGAAGGTGCAACCATCAGGTGCCAGGCCATAGGAGGGCTCAGCCCTTTTGTCTTCCACTGGACTGTGGTCTAGAGATGTGCGTAACTTGGCCCAAATTCCAGAACCCAGTTCCTTCTCACACACAGTACATAGCAGCCTTGAATCCTCCCCCAGCTGCTCAGTAAATTCTTTTTGTTGTTGTTGTTGTTGTTGGTTTTTCGAGACAGGGTTTCTCTGTGTAGCTTTGGAGCCTATCCTGGCACTCGCTCTGGAGACCAGGCTGGGCCTCGACCTCACAGAGATCCACCTGCCTCTGCCTCCTGAGTGCTGGGATTAAAGACGTGCGCCACCAACGCCCGGCCACTGTGCAGTAAATTCTTTTCTAGGTCTTGGTCTTCTGGTTCTTGACAGTGTTTTAAGAACACACACATAACATTTATTCTATAACATTCTTCAGAAAGCCTGGGATAGACATTATCCTCTTTTCTTCTTTTATTTTTTTAAAGAAACACAACCTACAGTACTGAGAAACTAAGTCATCCACTTAAAGTCACACAAAGAGTACACAACAGAGCCAGAATGCAAATCTAGGCTGTGAAGCTAGTAAAGTCTCCAGAAGATGGTATTGAACAGACATTTATTTCTGGTTGGTGGGTCCATAGTGTGGCCCCAAGGATGGGGTCTGGGGCACAAACAGTAGCATAGTAGCATGAGCTAAGAGGGCAGGGCAGAGGCCAGGCCCCAGGGCTTGCCTTGTGCTCATGCCTCAGGCAACACTGGGCAGTGGAGGAGGAAATCATTACTTCAACTATAAATAAATCTACTCTCTGAGGAAGCTGCGGTCCAGGTGATGAGGCCCAGTCTCTCCGTGACTCCTTCCAGAGGCCCTGCAGTCTGAACCCAATAACCTGAGATCTACCACACGTCAAATTTATCTGCCTCTCAGAGCCAGAGTGACAGTGGAGAAGAGGTCACCGGCTCCCTTCACTGCCAGTTCAGCTCCTGGTGAGCCTGTCATTCACTTTTTGGACCAAGCACCACAGGAAAGAGCAGGAGCCTCGACTCCCCTCCCCCCAGGTCCTACAGGTGACTCAGACCACCACTTGCAGCTGGGCTCCCAGCCCCCACCAAGAGTTGCCAGCAGTGCGGCCTGCTTCTGCTGCTCCCGGACTGGTCATTGTTGCCCCTAGGTCACAAAATAATCATCGTCTTCTTCCTCCCGCTGGCTGCTCTGGAGCAGCAGCTCGAGGTCAGCGCTGGGGCCCAGGCCCTTCGGGAGCTTAGGGCCACCATCACCTTGGGGTAGACAGACCACAGTTACTGACCTAGTAACCTTTTCTGGAAATGACCCCTATATAGTCCCAGGGTGGCAGCACCATCTGGCACATGTCCCAAGCTACGGCAATAGTTGGTGAGGTGGCTGGATGGTGGGACAGTCAGTAATACTAAGCCATGGGGAGGAGGCCACCATACCTCTGGAATGCAGGGCCTTGAGGGCCACATGCAGGGAGATGCCAGAGAGGCAGAGGGCAAAGCCCAGCCAGTTCAGGAGGCTGATCTGATCACCCAGCAGGTGAGCCGCCAACAGCAGGGTGCAGACTTCCTGTGGGCAGAGGCAGGGGCGTGGGGTTAGAGCTGGCCTGACAGGCTGACCCGTAGGGCAGAAGTGGGGACCTCTGCCCAGATCACTGGCCTGCAGGCTGCCTGGTGTTACTGGGATGCAGGTGCACGGGTGCTTTCCATAGACTCCCAGCAAAAGCAGAAAGCCATCCATGCCCCAGAGGACGACGTAAGTGTCCCACAGGAATAAGGGAGTCTACCATTGCTGGGTACCCATAGATGGACAGGCCTCAGCATGCGTGACCTTGGGAAGAAAGGCCTCTCTTCATCATAGCCAGGAGCCCTTATACTCAAATGTTTGCTTCGGGTGGCACTGTTCCAGCATGCAGTCTATCTGTCTAGAGGGAAACTCCTCCACAGACCTGACCCGTGTGCCCAGCTCTCAATGCTGGGACTTCTCACTGATCAACCTAGATGTGCTCCAGGCCACTGACATATAAACCAAGCTGCCAGTGTGAGGCCTGGTGGCATGAGGCCTGCTCTGCAACTCCAGCTGTACACACTGGTTAGAAGAGGCACTTTCTCAGCTCTGCAGGGGGAAGGCCATGGCACATCCAGGCCACACTCTGCAGCCTCTTCTCCCGCCCACCCTCTCAAGGTGCAGAGACAGGGACTGAAACTGCTAAGATAAGCCCTCAGGGGCTCCTTTTAGTGCAGGTCTGCGGTCACTTCCCAGTGTGTACCTTAAAGATGCCGGCGATGGAGAGAGTGAGGCTGGATGTTCTGGACACAAGGAGGAACTCAGAGAAGCCCAGACCAAAGGCTAGAATCCCGCCAAGGAAGAGGCTCCCAAGAACCCGCAGGAGCAGCCCTGCATCTTGGAAGCGGAAGATTTTCTCTGAGGTGGACAAATGGAGACCTGAAAGCAACAGGGAGAGAGCATGAGGCCGGATCTGAGCAGTCTGCTGGCTCTTCTCTGTACTTCTTCAGCATGGCATGGGGGGGGGGGCTCCCTGATTGAGGTGGGAAAAAGGATGGGGGGTGCAGTTAAAATAGTCCCATGCAGATAGATGGTCTGAGACTCAGGGACCACAGTGGCACTACAGAACCCAGGGCAATGCAAGTCCACTATCAGAACAGGGAGGAAGGAGTTGAATCTGTGGAGAGAGGCTGATTGTACAGGACTCATGAATGCAGGACTCCTCACCTTTAGATTATGTGCATGTGCACACACACACACACACACACACACACACACACACACACACACACACACACACACAGTGCTGGGATGGAACCCAGGGCTCACATTAGGCATATGCTCTAGAGTTATACAGCCCAGGCCGAATCTGGGCCTTGTTATTATGAAGCTATGTATAGACTTGGGTGGAGAGATGTCCCCATTTTGGTTATTGGTTTTCCTACTGAGAGAGTGACAGGCCTGGGACTAAACTGTCATTTCTCCAACAAGCAGTATAATAGAATGAACATATCTCAAAAAATAAAATCAAACCTGAAAAAACAAAAAAGCCCAGAGTGGAGTGTGGTGGCACACACCTGTGACCACAGTATCTGGAAGGGGCAGAGGACTGGCTCAAGGAGCAGCTACACAGGAAGCTCAAGACCAGCCAGGGCCACACAAGGCTCATCTCAAGCCAAACCTAACCAAACAACACCACACACACGTGATTACATGACAAAGCTACAGCCCCTTGCTCCAGAGCACACTGCACACACATCAGTCTTTGCTTCAGTTTTTGGAAGCTGTGGCCCCTCCTTAAAGAGCTCCCAGGCTTTCTAGCAGCAAGTTCCCCAGGGTGCATCAGAGGGGTGAGGTCAGTATCTACTAGGCACAGTAGACACAGGTGGGAGCTGAAGGTAGACAAGAACTTTGTGGGCTCAAGGGTGGAGGGGTACAGAAATTTGACTACACTGCCGCTGGCCTGGCCATGTGGGGCCATCTTGTTGGTGCGTGTGTGCCCCAGGCCAGGAGCCTGGCCATGTGGGGCCATCTTGTTGGTGCTTGTGTGCCCCAGGCCAGGAGCCTGGCCATGTGGGGCCATCTTGTTGGTGCGTGTGTGTCCCAGGCCAGGAGCCTGGCCATGTGGGGCCATCTTGTTGGTGCGTGTGTGTCCCAGGCCAGGAGCCTGGCCATGTGGGGCCATCTTGTTGGTGCGTGTGTGTCCCAGGCCAGGAGCCTGGCCATGTGGGGCCATCTTGTTGGTGCTTGTGTGCCCCAGGCCAGGAGCCTGGCCATGTGGGGCCATCTTGTTGGTGCGTGTGTGCCCCAGGCCAGGAGCCTGGCCATGTGGGGCCATCTTGTTGGTGCTGGGCTCAGCAGTACTGCAGAGGCAGTGGCAAATTGAAGGGAATTCGGGGAAGAGCAACATAAGTAATGAAGGCGCTTGGGGGATTAATTTACCAGAGAAGATTAAAGGGGCTAAATCCATGCAGCTTTGCTAAGTGGCGGCGACCAGGGGCTTTTGGATGAGGTTTGCAGAGCAGGGAACAGCGAGGACGCCTGAGGAGGGGGGAGTGTAGTGTTTGCTCCGAGGGGCATAATGAAGGAATGGGGAGAGATTTTAAAAAGGAAAAGCATGAGGTTCCACACACAAGTTTCCTGGACAACGGGGCTGTGGAATCATTTTCTCGGGGAGGCTGGAGACGCTTCGCTGCTTGAAACGTAAATGGATGTGGGATGAAATTTTCGGTAATGACCCTGAGGACAGCTGGGACTCTGAGAAGGAGGGTAAACAAGGGACAAAGACTAATCCGAAAGCACTGGTGAAAGGACGGCAGCAACTCCTGCCCACCTTGTACAACCCCCTGGCCTTGCCTCTTCCCTGGAACAACTGTCCATGTACCCAGGCTGTCCCCCGTTCCCCATGAGCACACATGGCAGAGCCTCCTGCCCCTGCTCCCCAGGGTGCCCTGGTGTCATCAACCCACATACCCACCATTCATTCTCTACCATTTCCCTTCCCTACCCAAGCATCCCTGGACAGACCCCGAGACTCTGCTCCCTGGGAGGCATGTGCACCATGTGACAGTGGGCCTAGCCTCCTGATGCCAGGTTGTTGGGCACCAAGTCCGGCTTGCTTATGAGCTATGGGACTCTGGGAAAGCTTTCCCCCTTGTTTTCTTAGTTTCTTTCCTCTGCCAAATGGGGAAAGAAAAAAAAACAAAAAAAACAAAACAGTCCTCCACATCTGGTTATAGGGGGAATGAAAAACTAGTGCATAAATAGCTCAAGTATGCCTGGAGTTGTCCGTCCACACCCTTTGCACTGACTCCTTGTATTTCACACATAATTTCTTGCACCCTTGTCATCTTAGATTCTAGTCATTCTGCGTGTGTCTGTCTAGTCCCAAACCACAGCAGTTGGGGAAAGACTGAGTTCCAGATCTGGGCAACCTCTGTGGTTAGCACTGTGCTGAGCTCAGAACAGTACCATGGGGTCTGCTGTACTCCGGGGCCCAGCGGAAGGAGCATACCTTCAAATACGGCAAAGAGCGGGAAGAGACCCAGAAACATGAGCGGCTGCAGGTGGAACATGGTGTCGATAGGGTTCTGAAGGCCTGCGCAACGGGACACAGCAGCTGTCAGCCCAGCCTGGGGACCGATGTCTGCCCGACCCCCAGCCCTCCCCAGGGGCTCACCCAGGTCAGCTTTCTGCAGAAGCATCTGTGTAAGGGTCCAGCGGATGCCACCGATGAACGACGCCCCCAGCACTAAGGCAAAGCCCTCCACGTTGAACTGTGTGGACTTATAGGTAAACATGAAGAGGCCCCCAGCGATGAGAAGGACCACCAGGACCAGGGCTGCACGCTAGGAGGGGAACAGTGCAGCTCACTGGGGGCTCCAGGCGCAGGCACGTGCCATATGTGGAGCTGGGGATCAGTAGCCATTCTAAGCCTCGTCACTTCCAGAGGTCCTGCCTTACTGACAGACACAGGGCTGACATACAGCCGGCATGTTCCTAACATCATACTTATTCTGAAATATTAAAGTACTAGGTGCTCATTCCAGGCTCCAAGTGCCCCCCACCCCCACCCAACAAACAAAAAACACCGAATTGCTCCATGGGAACCCAGGCCCCCGGCCAATGCTGCACTTGTTTTCAGACCTTTTGCCATCACCTATATCTAGGTCTCCTCCCAAAGAGAGGCATTTTAAGAGACTCGGGGCAACAGTCCCCTGTCACAGAGTGATAAGCCACTGCTCCGAGTCCGTCTTCCACCCAGGGCAACTGCAGTGAAGGAGGGAAGGGACATGGGGCCTCACCAGCTCCTCCAGCTTGAAGATCAGAGAGAAGATCAGGATGAAGAGCACGGCAGATGATTTGGTCATTGTGTACCTGGAGCAGAGATTCCCACAATGCATGGCTGCAGACCCCCATCCGATGGCAAGGCCCCAAAGAGCAAAAGAAGCAAGCCGGGGGCCTGTGCTAATATACAATCTTTCCCAGAAAGAAGTCTTTAAGAGGCCTGGCAGGCACTGGGGGAGGGGGGGCAGCGCGGCGCGGTGGGTCTGGCGCCATCTGCGGAGACCAGGTGAAGAAGGATGAGAGAATGTGGACAAAGAGAGGCGAGGGACTACACTCTCTGAAGCAAGGCATCAGAGCTGTGACGGGCAGTGCTCCACTGCCTGGTGCTGCACTCTGCTCCTGACACCCCCAACCCTCATGCCACCTCACCAAGCAACCGTGGCTGCTCTGTCCAGTCCCCTCGCTTGCTCTTGCTGCCTGGCAGTCAGGTGCAGCATCTCTCTCTGCACTGGCTTGCGGAAGAGCTGGAGGCTTTTTACAGTGCTGCGGGGTGTCAGCAAGGAGCTGAGGGGGTACAAGGGCTGGTCCCAGAGACTGATGGCGTAGTTAACCCATTGCTGGCTGCACAGACTGCCAGCTGGACTGAGCAAGTGAGCTTGGCCTGAATCGGGGGTAGAGGGTGTGACCAGTACTCACAGTGACACAGTGATGTAAAGAAAGCTCCAGTTGGACAAGCCCACATCAAGTGCTGTTGCCAGTGCTGTGGAGACAGAGGACACCCAACAGGAGCAGTCAGTTGCCAACCATGTGGCTGAGGCACCTGAGGCCCTGCTTGCCCTTCCTTTCTACCAAGCAACTCCAGGTTAACAACTGGCCAAAAGGGTCCATTCTGATTGGATAGGCCTGTTAGTCCCCTCTGTGAGTCCAACCTGATTAGCTAGGCCCGTCAGTCTCCTTTGTCAAATAATTTAAACAGCTCCAGACAAGAGTATTAAACCAATCCTGTTAAACTGCTCATGAGGCACCTGGCCCTCCACAACTAGCCCAGCTGCCAACTCCTCTCCCCTTCTCCCTCACCAGCAGAGTCCTCCCCTTCTGACTTATTACTCCCAGGGCCAGAGGTTTCCATCCACCCTCAGGTCTTGCCCACTCAAGACCAGTCCTAGGAAATCTTTTAGCCCAACCTAGCATGGCCACCACAGTGAGGCGCATGTTTTGCACTTGGTGGAGTCCACTGAGGCCCACGTGAGCCAGCAAGGATGGAGATGCTGCCCGCTTTGCTGAGAGGCAACAGTGGGAGAGGGGTGAGAAGGAAAGGGGAGCAGGGAGAGCGTGGTCTCAAGGCCACAGCGCTCCTCTGGTTTCTGGCTGGGCTCCAGCAGCTCCCTCACACTGGACCTACCTGTGGGGGCCACTCTCCTGAGGTAATCAGTCCAGCTGAGCACCACGCGGGCCCTGTGGCTGGAGCACTGAACCAGCGCCCTGGACAGGGCTGAGAAGAGGAAGATCACGGCCAGGTGCAGCATGGTCATGAAGAGGGGAAAGTGGAAGCTCTGTGGGGCCCAAAGCAGACAGGGATGGAGCCGCCACACTGCCCTCTATCGCCGCTCTGTGGTGGCGGGGCCAACCCACTGCCTCCCCACTGCCTCTGGTGGCAGGGACCAATCCAGCGTCCCCTCCCTCCTCTGGTGGCAGGGACTAATCCAGTGCTCTGCATCAGGGTCTCAGCCACAGAAGGACCCCGGGAACAAGGTCCCCACTGTGGAGGTCACACAGAGAATCAGCAGCCTGGAGGCTCAATCCTGTCCAATTTTATCATAACCTGCTCTTCAAATGCTTAGCCCGCTCAGGGTCAATGTTCAGGAAAAGCCACCATGACCCAATACAAATGTACCGACTACAGTCACCTTCAGGCCAGTCCCTGTACTGGCAAGGCCCTGGTTACCTTTGTCAGCCATTTGTTGTAGAAGGTGATGCCTATAGAGAAGCAGTAGTAGAGGAGGACCAGGCCCAGCGTCAGCACTGCCTTCCACACAAAGGCCAAGTCAAGGGCCCACCTCCCCATCCGTGGGCCAGCAGGAACAGGAGCTTCTCTTGAAGATGGTTGGCAGGAAGAACCAGCAGAACTGGACCCCGGTTTTCAAAGGGCAGCTCCCCTAGCTGGAAGAGTCCTCTTCACCTCCATGATGTGGGATGTGCAATGGGCCCCAGATGGAGTCCTCACCTAAGGGGCTGATGGCCAGAGCCAAACTGTCCCATGGTTAGCTGGACGCAGAGATCACAGGTCCCCAGCTCTGGTGCTGAAGAGAAGAGAGGGAGGGTCTGGCCATAGTGAGACTGCAGAGGCCATGGGTCCCACCCTGGCACAGGCACTTGGAACGCTAGTGTACATTCAAACTGTCCTCCACGGGCTCCCACCAAAGTAACCTTTCAACAGCTAAGTGTGACCCTGCCCGACCTTTCTTCAACCCTTCAGTGGATCCCAGTTACCTTCACAAAGGCCAAAGCCTGCCTGGAGTTCCAAGGTCTAATCTGGTCCAGTCATCCTCAGCCAGTCTGTCCCCAGCACAGAAGGGATGGAGGGGACAGCACATCTGGGTCTCCCTTCCTCAGGGACCTGACTACAAGCCACCATTGTGCTCCTACTTTTCTTTTGTAGCAACTAAGGAGTGTGATTTGAGCAGACCTGTTTTTTTCTTTTCAGTGCTGTAGACAGAACCAGGGCCTCATGCTAGGGGCCACACTACCAGAGAGCCATACTCCCATACCCTTGAGTGACACTGCTGTCCCTTGTAAGGTTGTACTCCACAAGGCCTCACACACACACGGCATTCTCTATATTCTTCTTTTGGTCTGATGACCCCATGACAGAGTGTGTGTATGGGAATTCGGGGGACTTATCAGGTCTTAAGGAGCTAAAGTGGACCAGGCATACCTTGCCCTGGTCTCCAACAGCTACTCCCAGAGAGAAGGTGCCTCCCAAACCACATTACCACTTGTCAGTGAGCCCAGCAACTCTGTGAGTGCCCAGGGCAAGCCTGGCTCAGGAAACACTGGGACTTGGCTCTGCCTGGGTGAGCCTTGAAACTGTTAGGTGTACTACAGTCGTTTCCTCCCCACCATGCTGAAATACCAGCTCCTTTGGGAGTCTTCCAGAGACATGGGGTCAGACCTTTCCCCTTCCAGTCTGCACAGTCCACTCTACACTCTGGAACCTGTTATCATATTCCCTCCCTCAGGGCAAACCCGGCTAGCTCTGGGCTTGGCCAGAAGGACTCCTGGACTGTGGCTATCTTCAGAGGAATTTGGAACCCTGGGTGTTGACATGGAGGAAGTTCCTGACACTCGGTGAGTAGAGACTACAAAGGCCCTGCCCAAGAAGCTAAGAGTGTTTTGCATTCTGAGCATCTCTGATATTCATGAAGGCAGAGGACTTGCTTCTGATCTCTGTAAACACAGTTTCTCAGGGCTCCACCATACACTGAAAATGCTAGGAATACTACGAGTGCTGTCAAAGTGGAACCAGGGTCTCCATTCTGGAAAACCCACTTCGTTGACCACAACTCACATCTCTGGGCTGCTGACTTGGTAGCTGTGAAATTACCCTTATGGTAGGCTCATGCCCGTGTAGTCAACAGCAAGAGGAGCCCACCAGTGGCCTCACTGTGACTCCAGCACCACTCTGATGGATGGAAACGTTTTATTTCATCATTAATTACCTTCCTTTCAACTACACTTTGGGTGCCACTGGTTTTCAGGTTAATGAACAGACTGTAATTAAAGACATGGTGGGTCCAGGGGAGAGGCACTGACAGACTGGTCTAATGCAGCCTTACATTTTGTCCTATGTAGGGAGGCACCGCTTATATTTCACCTTTATGATTGTTAATTTTGGATATTTTACACTATTAAGTTTTAATCCTCCTTTAGACTAAAAGGGGAATTGTAGGGAGACACTGTAACAATGCCTCCTAAGGGCTGGCTACAGCTGTACTTAACCACGCCTGTCAGGGCATGGTCAAAGGGTGTTCAGGATGACACGAGAGGGGTTCTTAAGGTGCTGCAGACACGTGGGAGCCCCTTCTCTCTGGCCTGGCTGCCTTGCTGCCCCTGGCATGTTCTGGCTTGCATTTGGACTGGTGTTTATCTAAAGAAATCTTAGCCTTACGAACTATGGATCATTTTGAGCGCACGCATCTCGGAATATCCACAGTCATACTTTCTGCAGGCTAACATATCCCCGGCATGCAGCCTGCTGCTGGTTCCCATGAGCCCCAGAGGCAGATCCAACTGCTGACTGGACCTATTCAGCAGGGCCACTAATCTCAGGCTCCTGTTTACACTGCTAGACAACTGGGGACACAGGCTCAAACCTAGTTCCAACAAACCTCAAAGTCCACATTCTCTCATGGCTAGGGCTTTGCAGCCTGGTACTACCCAATCTTTCTGGGAGAAGCCAGTCCTATGGACTGCAGTCCATCAGCAAATCCCTGTCTCTACCTACAGGATGCCAGAAGTGTTAGGTGTCAAACCCCACGCTGTCACAACTAGGCTATGTCCAGAATTTACCTTGTAGTGCTGGCCTAGCATGCAGGAAACACACCATGGTCCCTGCGAGCCACTGCCTCCCCTACCCAGGAAGTGGCAGAGCATGCTACATGCCAGGACAGCCTGTTCCCTTTTCTCTCAACTTACTGGCCCATCTACTTCTGATCAGTTCCTACTTGGCCACTATAGTGCCCTTTGTCCAGTGCTCAAGCCCACCTTTCCTTCAGAGAGCTCACCCAGCTCCCCACCTCTAGGGGGCACCATGCAGAAAGTCACCTAGTCTGTCCCCAAACACAAAGCTGGAAATGCCTCGGCCAGAAAGGCCTCCAGGAAGCAGACAGCTACTCCGTGCTTCATCATGAAGCAGTGGTTTGCCTCACACTGACTGGATATACAGACTCGAAACTTCTAAGGTCGTCACCCTCACTCTGTGGTAAGGGAGAGCAGGCATGCAATCACATCTGTCCAAGCAAGGAATTCAGTCTCCCTTTTCTCAAGAAACAGCAGCTACCTCAAAGCAGGGCAGGGCAACGCTGTAGCACCTGGCTGTCCTGTCCCATCTCAGCTGTAGCACAGGTTCTGCTTAGGGCCTCAAAGCACAGGCTCTAACAGCATAGATGTGAGCAAACCCTCTGTGTCCACCTACCAGAGATTCCAAGTTCTCTGGCTGTGTGGACTCGGTTTCTCTAACCATGTGCTTTTCGGCCAAGGTTGTCATTAGCATGAGAAGCAGCACTTGACACTAACCCATAGTCACCTTCTACAGCACAGCTTTCCAGTGCCAGGCCCATGCCCTCACCTCAGTGAGGGCTACTCTTTCCCTGTCACCTGTTCAGGGGCCAAGTTCCTGTGACTCCCTCACGAAACTGACCACTTACTCCTCGGAGACCTACTGGGTGCAACTTGTCACAGTCTCTGGAGTCTTCTGCTTTCTGGGCAGCTGCTAGTCCAGTGCCTTCTCTCCAACTCGGCCAATCAGAACTGGTCCCTCAGGGGTGGGAACCAGCTTCTTTTCTGACTTCATTCCAATCCAACCAAGACCACCCCAATCTTCCTGTGAGAAGAAAAACCTAACTGCCATTTGGGTAGCTCCAGTTGGACAGCTCAACCTCAAGGTGCCCCAAGGAGCTATCTTAATATTCTTCAGCTCTCTGTCCTACTCTGATGTCACTTAGAAACAGTCATCCTTACAACTGTTTACTTTGGCCAAAGGCAATCATCAGTGAAGTCATTGCTGTTCCCTGTATTCCTCGTATCCTGCCCTGTCAAGTCCATCTCTAGTTATTTGCTGTCCCACCCACTTTTTCCCCTTCTTCTCCACCACCCACGTCTAAGCCACTGTTACCTTTCACCTTCTGCCTGCACTTCAGAAAGAGTCGGAGGCTGGTGTTAACGTTAGTGCTGTCAACCTGACACAGTCACCTGGGAGATGGGCCTTGGAGCACACCGGTAAGAGATTCTCTAGATCAGGTTAACTAATGTGAGGAGACCCATCCAGTTGTGGGCAGAGCCTCCTGGACTGCATAAAGAGGGGAAAGGGACCCCAGCACTCTGCTTCAGGGCTGTGGATGCAATGTGGCCAGCTGCTTCAAGCTCTTGCTGCCCTGACTTGCCCACGATGGTCTGCACACAGAATTGTAGGGGAAATTAAGCTCTTCCTTTCTTAAGTTGCTTTTGTACTCTACCACAGCAACAGGGAAAGAAAGCAGGACAGCCGGCTTCAACAGACTGGAGACCCCTGGGCTGGGTCCACAAGTCCTCCTCGGATCCCGCCTGCCTGCCAGAGCCTTGCAACCTCCACGTTCAGCCGTGCGCCCAACGCATCCGCGGGTTACCTGATGCTCTCGGCTGGCTCCTGTCCCCCTTCCCCAGGGCCCCCACTGCGCGAGGCATTTCCCACCGCGTGACGTCTGTGTTTGCTCACGTGTCACCGCCGCGCCTGCCCGGCAGCGATCGTCCACTTCCCCCAAGACTCGCCTCTCATTAAGTGCTTGGTAAATAAATACCAGGCGGACGGGCCCAGGGCCACGAGAGGACTGGGGAAACTGAGGCCCGGGACAGGCGGGAGCGCAGGGGACCGCCCACCGCACGCCCACTCACCTCCGCCCAGGCGCTCGCTCCGGAGACTCCTGCCGGAAGCGCGAGCTGAGTACTGGGCCGCAGAAGGCGAGACTTCCGCCGGAAGCCGGCGAGGGTGGGTGGAGCCAGAGCATCTTTCTCCATCTAAACCGGCCACAGCGGGCATTGCAGCACGGTGACTCCGTCTTTCCCTAAACTGGCGCCGGCAACGAAACACATATACTAATAACTCTCTCGTGTGCTTTTCTTCTGGGACTTCAAGCAGCTGGGAAATGACTTGAGGGCCATTAAATTTTAGAAATGTAAAAAGTCTGGGCAAAGTAATAATGGACACTTGTGAAATTACATATACCTATACATTTGTGAGAATTATTCAGTAGGTTGAGTAGGTGAAGATCATCCCAGAGGAAATGGAACCCGAAAGGAAGGGGTGCGAAGAGTGTAGTCTTAATGGGAGCCCAGGAAAGCTGGTGTGCGGTGGCTTCAGAACGCCAATCTAGCACACCCAGATTTTAGGCGCAGAGCATGTGGGCAAGAGAACCTCTAAGCCATGCAAGCCAGGGCTGCAGACCCAAGCTGACCCAGTCCTCTGCTATTGCTCTTCTGA